CTCCTCCTCCTCCTCCTCCTCCTCCTCCTCCTCCTCCTCCTTCCTCCTTCCTGACCCTGTTTGCGAGGCGGATCTGGCCGTGGCGACGAGAAGCCTGCAGAAGGCCTAGGAAAATCAACAACACCAGGGAGGGCCGCTGTTGTCTCGACGGGCCTTCCTCCAGACCCCCACACCGATCCTCCATACGGGAGGGGCTCGAAGAATATGTACACCAAGTCGCCTGGTCGGCACAGGAGCTCGGTGCGCAGACGCCCCAGTCTCCCAACCTCCTTGGGATGCTGTGGAGTCTATAAACCGACCTCCCTCACCGAGTGCAGTGACTCCCTGGTCAGCCAAACGACGTGGCGCATACGGTCAAGAGCCTTTGCTTAGCGTGTCACGGCGGCGGCCCCGGCGGTACGTTATGCCCTGCAAGCTGATGGCGTGTCGCTCAGCCGCGCGGGACGGGGGACGTCGCTAGCGTTTGGAGGCGGCTGGAGGGTCTGGGCTGCATGGGCCACGAGATAATCGGTCAGAAGGGGCGAGGCAGAATCTGCTCAATATCCGTTCCAGGACCTCCCCCCAGGCACAAACGCCCCGGTTATTCGAGCCGCGCCCAGCCGTGGCCACGAGAAGCCCCCCAGAGGTCCAGAAGGGACGAAAAAGGCCCCGACCCCGCCCTCGTTCTCCTCCTGGCTGCAACCAGTGCTGGGCCACAGCAGACCCCCCAGCCGACTCCACGCTGGCGTGTTGCGCCGAGGCGTGCCTCCGACAACCCCCGCCCCCATCCCTCCCCCCCAAGCGGGCCGCACAGGGACACACGAGCACTGTGCGCCGCCCTGGGGGGGAAGGGGGGGGGGACGAAAAGTCCGAGCCAACCATACAGCACGAGCGCCGTGCAGCGCATCGCTGTCCAGGCGGCATGGCCAGAAAGCGCCCACCACCCGAGCAGACTCTGGGTTCCTTGCGAAGCGCAAGTGGGCACCCCCCCCACAGGGGGTCAGCCTCGCCTCGTCTTCGCGCTGCGACGGGGGTCGGAGCGCCCTCGGCGCGCGGCGGCTGCCCGCGACGGGGGTCGATGTGTGGCTGCCGGCGGGGGCGGCGCCCCCCTCGAGGCGGATCAAGAAGCTCGGAGCATGGTCTAAGACTTCTGAGCGGGCGCGTCGCCCGCAACATCCCGACGCGCACGCAGCGGCCAGAGGCGAGAGGAGGCGCGGGCGGCGGCGCGGGCCTTCCGCGCCTCGAACCCCAGCAGCGGCAGGCACCCCACCAGTCTCGCGGGCACGTCCGCGGCCAGCAGCAGGCCTGCCACCTGCCGCGCCAGGAGGGCTGGAGTTGGGTCGGGCACGTCCTCCTACAGGCGGACTGCCCAGGGAAAGTAAAACATGCGAAAAAACAAAGATTCAAAAATAGTCAAAAATATTCGACAAATCGTCCCCAGACTATGGTTGCTTCTATGTGTAAAGATTCCTCCTGTACAGGGGCACGCCCGACTTAATCTCAGAGGTCGGAACACGCGCGGAACAAGTTGAATGTGTACCGTTCTTCGAGCTTCGAAGATCGCGGCTCGAGGCCTCCTTGTGCTTTTGGCTGCTTGGGGGGGGGCCTCTGTGGGGATCCTCGTGGACACAGCTGGGTCCGCCTCGAAACCCCGGCCGGAATGCACCCCAGGACAGGCCTGGGGGTCCATGTTCGAGGAGGGGGGCAAGTTCCGAAGTCGGCTACACGCAAGAGTGGCCCTGAGCAAGAGTGCCCTTTGGTGCGCGGATTGCCGGCCGCTGCGTACGGCGTGACGGCAGCGGCCTTACGCGCCTGGGCTTGGTCCCGCAGCGCCCCTCGAGGGCCGCACGCCAGAGCTCACTCCAGCGAGAGGTCACCACTCCAGCGAGAGGTCACTCTCAGGCGTAGCCGACGCGGCCTTGTCGAACCCACAGCAGACACGATACGATACAGTGCGGGCGCGACCGAAACCCAGCCCTGAAGACCCTCGCGAGAGGTGCGACTGGGGGGAAGCCCAGGGCACCCTTAACGCAACAACATCTTCGACGGCCGCGGAAAGTTACCGCGCAGCGCGAGGAGCGAAGAAACCCAGGGCACCCTGACAAGAAGCAGATGGGCTCTTGCTGCGCGCCCCCACTGGTACGTTGCGCCACCCTGCCGGGCAGAAGGCCGCCCGCTGCGGGGGGGGTAAGGCAACAAAAAGCGCCGCAGCGGGGCCCTGTGAGGCTTCAGAGCTGACGGTGCTGATCTAGCAGATTTTTTTTTTTGGGGGGGGGAGGGAGATGATGGGAGCGGGCCGCATGATTCAAGAACCACCGTCGTAACGCGAATGCCGGTTGCACTTGAAAGCCGTTCTCTTCCTCACCAAGCGTGTGGGAACGGACGCACACACAGTGCCGAGAGAGAGGAGGAGGTGGTGGTGGAGAGGAGGAAGGAGGAAGAAGAGGGGAGCCCTGGCAGAGCGTGACATGCATCGGGGCTCGCCGCCGAGCTCTGCATCAGCACTCGCCGACCTGCCGCAGGCAGCAGTCACGAGGCGTCTCGGACTTTTCGCTCGGCGCTCCGAGGCCCTGGCTTCCAGCGGCGGCTGCGGGGGACGCCCAGACGAAAGCGCACGAGACCGAGAGCGCCGACACGCACATATAGCCCGAGGCCAAAGGCTTCGCAGGCGGACGGGATTGCGGGTACTGGGAAGGCAGATGCGTACACCCTGCGAAATGCTTAAGAAGTCATGGGTTAAGAAATTCATAGTCTCAGAACTTGAATGAAAACCAAACATTTCTATTAAAATCTTAGGATCTACATTGAAACATTAAGAATAATCGAGACTCTGGCCGAAAACTTTGGTTTTCTTAAGCATCGCCTAAGGTGTATGGAATGATGCATCCAGACGTGGTAATCAATACGCTCACCGAGTACACACAAGGACAGTTGCACGAATTGATGGAAGTGAGATCGCCGCAAAAAAGAAAGCGAAAGAATGGCAGGAACCACGCAAGGTCGGGCGTGTCCACCTACAGAGGATTTTTCGACGAAAAATGAAAAATACCCGAAAAATGCAAAAAAACAAAAAACAAAAAAAAAAAAGTCCCCCGACTATTTTTGTATAATGGTTTGACTATGTTGGGGGTATTTCCCTACCTAGGCTCTGCCTAGAGGGTTCTTACCCTGTATCTTAAAGGGGCCAGGCAATGCTACCCGCCGCGGGCGGTTCCCCCGGCATCCGCCCCGCGGTTCCCCCGGTTGCGTCCCCTTAGCTTAGCGTTGCTTTATTTCATCTTAGCTTAGCTTAGCTTCATCTTAGCTCAGGTTTATCTTAGCTTAGCTTACCTTCATTCCCTACCTAGGCTCTGCCTAGAAGGGTTCTTACCCTGTGGGCTTAAAGGGCCGGGCAGTGCGCCCCGCCCCGGGCGGTTCCCCCGGCATCCGCCCCGCGGTTCCCCCAGCTACGTCCCCTTAGCTTAGCGTTGCTTATCTCATCTTAGCTTAGCCTAGCTTAGCTTAGCTTAGCGTAGCTTAGCTTAGCTTAGCCTAGCCTAGCTTAGCTTGGTTTAGCTTAGCTTAGCCTAGCCTAGCTTAGCTTAGCTTAGCTTAGCTCATCTTAGCTTAGCGCAGCGCAGCGCAGCATTAGCATAGCATAGCATAACATAGCGCAGCATAGCATTAGCATAGCATAGCGCAGCATAGCGCAGCATAGCATAGCATAGCATAACATAGCATAGCATAGCATAGCATAGCGCAGCATAGCATAGCATAGCACGGCATAGCATAGCATAGCAGGGCTTAGCTTAGCATAGCACAGCGCAGCATAGCATGGCGTAGCATAGCATAGCATAGCGCAGCATAGAATAGCATAGCATAGCATAGCGCAGCATAGCATAGCATATCATAGCACGGCATAGCATAGCATAGCACAGCATAGCGCAGCAAAGCATATCACAGCATAGCCTAGCCTAGCATAGCATAGAATAGCATAGCATAGCATAGCATAGCATCGCACAGCGCCGCATTGCATAGCATAACATCGCATAGCGCAGCGTAGCATAGCACCGCATAGCCGAGCATAATATAGCGCAGCCTAGCATAGCATAGCATAACATAGTATAGCATAGCGCAGCATAGCGCAGCATAGCGCTGCATAGCATAGCATAGCATAGCATAGCATAGCATAGCATAGCATAGCATCAAAGCAAAGGCAAAGCAACAGCAGCAAAAGCAAAGCAAAGCACAAGCAACGCAAAGCAAAGCAGGACGGCGTTTACCGTTACCACTAATGTTGCTCTCCTCGGGGCTCCAACTCCTAGGTAGGGTCGCTCTGGGATAATTTATATGTTTCGTCGAAAATCCCGCTGTAGGGGGACAGGCCCGACGTAAGAGTAAGGGGGGGGGGGGGCCTCGGGCGCAGAGAATCGTCGCCACGAGGACTGCGCGGGCGGCCTCGGGCACAGAGAAGCGGTGCACTGTCGGGAGCGGCAAAGAGGGGGGCGTCCAAAATGGGAGGGGTGCAAATCATGGCCGGCGGCATGTGCGCGGCACAGCGGGGGGGGGCCAGGGACGTAATGAAATAAGAAGAGGCGCCATGAAATCTGAGGAAATACCCCGCCATGATATCCACCTCCCCACCCAGTCATCACCCCCCTCTTTGCAGCCCCCGAGTGCACTGGGAGGTGAGCCACCAGCGCAGGCTGCCGGAGAGGCAGGCCATCGTCCACGGGGCGGAGGGCAAAATCCCTACGCGTGCTGGCCCAAGCGGCACAGTGGAGGCCAGTCCACAAGAAGCCTTCCACAAGAAACCCAGCCGTGAGACCCCAGGACGCCCATCCATTTTTAGTGGGAACGTCACGCTCTCCATGGGAAAACAATCGAAACCCAAGAAACCCAGGGCACCCTGGAGGCAAGCAGGGTGTTTCTTGGCATGGGCCTCCACTGTGATGCCACACACTTGTTTGGTCTGCGGCGAGTTGGGCCCAGCAGGCTGCCAGGCAAACGACGGGACGCGTCCGTTGCGAGCTGAGGCGCAG